TTTGTCCTTCCTATTTCCTTTCGAAGTGTCATGTTTTAGAAAATCAACATTTTTCAGTAAACTGAATTTTTTTGGTTTAACCAAGTTTTTAGCTATCAGATACTATGCGAGCCTTGCGAAAAATGCTATTAAAGAAGAAGCAAGAACGCATTTCCGGAATCTTATTTTCACACCTGTCCTTTTTGGCATGGTGATGCTCCCTTATAAGTAGTGACAGGATTATTAAATTCTCATCATATATAGTAAAAATCCAAGGTTGTTTCATAATTGGAAGGAGCTCATGGAATTTCGTGATCTACATTCTCAGTTTTTGAGTTTCCTTCAGCAGCTTTGGGTTGGGCAATCACTTAGTTGACTTTTCAATCTTTGTTGACCCAAAAAGTTTAAATACGCGATTTATTTGCCTATGCACTGCTTCATAATGCCCATTCATGTATGTATCAGATCATATTAACAAGCCATTGCTCCGCCGTAACAGATTCTTTATGATAATTGAAATATTCCCCACTTGTGTACTATGGATTGAATGAGCTTTTCAGCGTATCCGATGCGGACACTAGAGAAGTGGCTGACGATTCCTCAGTTGCTTTACAAGCGCACGAACAAGATTGTTTTGCAGTCGCTATTGCTGACGAGCGATGGCTAGCATCTGGCGGCGAAGATGATGTCGCATATTTATGGGATCAGCAAGTTTCCGGTGAATCTTTTGCTTCCTGTTTTTCCTAGAATGGATGGTCTTGTATCAGTCTGCAACTCAAAAAATTTTAGACTCTGACCCAGTCCTAAAAATCGACCACAGAGACTCTGTAACAAGCGTCGCCTTCAATAATGCTCAAACATTATTGTCAACTGGTGATATGTCCGGGCATATTGTAATCACTCAACTTGCAGATTTGCAACCTCGAGCTAAGGTAAGAGCTTTTTCAAAGTAAATATTCGGGTAAATAAATCTGATTACTTGGACTTCTTACAGTCGAATCATCTCATATGATCATGTGTGTTGTTGCACACCCTGTTCACTTTTGGCATCCCCATCTTGGATTTGCAATCGTAAAAACGCAATAAACTGACTGTTGATATCGCTTACGTCATTTTCTGGAGATTATTACCTGGAAAGTAAAGAAATCACAGAAAAAACATCGAAAATAATTACTTGAAGGGGCATATACTGCTGAAATGCAGGATAGGGATGCCATAGGGATGTGGACAGGGTGTGCAATACCACACATGATCATATAAATGATTCGACTGTACGTAAATACTGAACAAAAGGCCATAACCAAACCATG